AGATTAGATAAGGATGGTTTTGATTAAATTAAAGTACAAAAACATTGAAATGTGCTTTGTTAAGTGTAATACTTTTAAACAAATTCTATATATATAAAATATGGAGGAGATACTAGATATATAAGTTAATATTTACTATCTATTATTTATGTGTTTCAAAATTATAAATCTTAATAAATTAAAGCAGGTAATATCAATAATGAGATAAGTTATTATATATAAAATTATAGTTAGTACGTGTTACCTCTTAAACAATAATGAGGCAAACTACAAGGAAAGTCTTCAAAGAGGGGTGTATATATGTAGCACTCCTGGACCAATCTCATATTAATAAAGCATTGAAAAGATATTAATAAATTGTATTGAGGCATTTTAAAATCACAAAATCTAATATGATAAAATGAACTGCATCAATAGTGTACTGATAGTTACATTAAGAAAAATGAATGCACAATAAATAAAATCTAGAGAGTGGATTTGAAATTAACATGCAAATGAGCCGCGGTGGCACTTGCAGTTTTTTTTTTTTTACTCACATTTTGCTATGTGATCTGGGGGCTCTGTTTCAATCCAGTCTATTTGATTACTCTAATTCTTTTATCTTCTATTAATTGTAGAATAATAAACAAACTAGATTTGGCTAACAAGAAAAAGACAGGTATTTGGCTAACAAAAAAAAGTATTGCAATCATGCATTGGTAGACGTAGATCCAGGAAGGGTAGAAGAAGTTGCCCGGATGAAAAGCGGGTTGCCAGCGTGGATATTGCCGCACATTCTTTTTGACTGCTTGTCAGTTTTACTAATTGTATTAGCTTAGAATGTGTATATATATATAGTTAATTATAGTATTTAAAATGTTAATTTAGAAATTAATTTTAAATTATTAATTAAAAAATATTAATTATTTTGTCAATTTTTAATTAATAAATTTATCTATCAAGTGTTCTTAAAAACAAAATCAAGCAAAAAAAATCATAATTTATGTGAGATGACAAGAATAAAAAAATATAATGATTTGTGTGAAACGACCATTTCTGGTGTGTCAATAACCATCACCCGCTCTCGCATTACTGGTTCTGGCATTATCCATTCTGACTTGCTAGCATGGTTTTAAAAATCGCCAGGTTGGTTCGATCCAACTTGATCTTAATTTTAGATTGAGTCAACACGTTAAATTAGAAGTAATTTTGTTTAAGGGACGAATTCAAAATTTACCTTTATTCCATAGAACCTTATACATCGCCAAAATTTTGAGAGTGACAAAAATAAAAAGTTTTAGTTTATTCCAACTATCATAATATCTCTTCAAAATAAACGCAATTCCCATTAGTAATTCCATATCGAGCAAAGCAAGCTCCTCTTACCAGTATTGTCAGTATTGTTTCGTATCAATTAATACAGTCAGTACATAATGATTTTTCAGTTTGATTGAAATGAAATAAAGTTAAATTTCCATTTCGGTCAAATTTCAAAAATATTGATCAAATTTCGCTGTACTTGCCAAAATTTGGCCGAAACACTCATGTCCAAATACAAAAAAAAAAAAAAATAAATAATAAGATTCCCTTTTTAATTGCGATTTCATTGCAAATTGTAGATCTCTGTTGTTGTTCTCCACTTCTCCTCCTTTCTCACAATTCACGAACCTCGTCCTCGACTCGTTGCCGATGGGCTGTTCTCCACTTCTTCTCTGTTGCTGCCACTGCTTCCTTCTTCCATTTTTGTTTCACGAGCTTGGAGAGTGTCTTTTAGGCATCGAAACAAGGAAATCAAAAGCCATCATCATTCTCTGTCCCATCCGCATCCTTAGCTTGGTGAGGCCTTCCGAGATCCTTTCTTCCCAAGTTGCTAGCATTTTCTTGCTTAGCTTCTCTGGTACATTAGCTCTTATCTCTTCACCACTTTCAGCAGCCCAGCTCTGTCTTTTGGGTATGACTTCCTTTTCTTTTTCGATTTAGAATTTCAAATTCTTAGGGTTTGACCAGTGACAATGGGCATTGTGTATGTGTTTGGCAATGGGTGATTTTTCTTTTTTTTCTATTTCTCTGCATTTTGCAATTTGCATGCAGTTTTCTCTGTAGTGGATTTTTCTTTGCACATTTTGCAATTCAATTTTCTCTTGATGTGCTTGATTGCAATTCATGAATGATGAAACAGTTGTGTGGCAATGGGTGATTGTGTGTGTGTTTAGTGGTGGCTGATTGTTATTCTTCCAAATAAGGATCTTTATAATTATGTCCAAGATAATTAATAATGTTAATTTTTTTGTTTGTTTATAATTGTCCCTTAGTAGAAACAATTGAAGAACCCCTGTGATGAACCCGATTGGGTGTTTGTTTCTATGATTGAAATATGGATGACAATTGCCTTTGACTTATTTGAAAATTTGAAAATTTGACAATTGCCTTTATAATTATATGATAATTTGATATATAATTTATAAATATATATATTTATAGCGGTAAATTCGAAATGATGCGTAAAAAATTTTGGTATTTGGTACATACCATTTTAATAACAAAACCAATACGTATACTGATATGATATTGACAACATTGCCTGTGACATCTTCATTTTTTAGAACTAAGAGATGATAAAATGGCTTTCTTGAGATTATAAAAAATAAATTTCTTGAATCTCACTTTTCCATTATCCTTTTGTATTAAAACAAATATGATTTTTTTAGTATAAATAATAAATTTGTAATATTTAGATTCTGTTGTTTTGGTACGTTATCCTTATTTTCTTTTTCGAACTAGCAGTACGATCATGTATACTCTCTCAATTTATTTTTTGTAATTCTGATTTGATTTTTTAGTTTTTTAAATATAAATTTTAGATGAAAATTTAATAAATTATATAAATAACAATTAAAATTTTTATATGTAGTTTTTATTGAGTATTTTTATTTAATTAAAATTTTTTTAACTACTATTCATATAATATGTTAAGTTTTCATTTAAAATTTATATTTGAAAAATCAAAAAATCAAATTAAAACTTCAAAATTTGAAAAAAGAGTAAATATTTAATTACCTTAAATAGCATTAATTTTTTTTTAAAGTCTTAATGTCACTAAAAACCCCCCCAACTTTACAAAAAGAGTCATTGTCCTCATTCTACTTAAAATGAATTTATAAAAATCCCTCAACTATAGAAAAGGGCAAGCATCATCCCCCGTCATAACGCCGTTTCTTCAGTGGTAAAAATAAAATCCTTCGAAATTTAATGCTAAAGTAACAGGTTGGCCCCTCAACTTTTAGTTTTAGTGTAGTTTGATTCTCAAACTTTAAGTTAATTAATCTAGTCCCTAATTTCAAATTTTTTTATTTCACTTTAGTCCCAAAACTTTTTAAATAATTACACTTGTCTTAAATTTTCTAATTTTGAGTCTTCTAAGTCAAGTTTTAGACTGATAATAATATAAATATATAAAATATAATAAAATTACATTCAACTCATTTAAATATCAATAAAATTAAGGTTAGAATAATAAAGTAAAATATATAAAGTTCATATAATCAAAGTAAAAAAATTAGGTCTTTGATACTCAATTTATAATTCTTAAAAATAAAAAAAATGACATTTAACTCTTTACATGCACATAATTCATAGAAAAAAAGAACAATATGATTGAGAAAAGGGTTAAATGAAGATGCTTGCCTTCTTTTTCTTGTTATACACTCCTAATTGTAGAAACAATGCCCAAAGTTATTATCAGTTTATGATGTTCACGTGTTACACTTCACAAGATTTCAAATTGAGTATCAAAGCTTTTTTTAGGATAAGTGAATATCCAAAACTCGATTTTGCAAATTAATAATATGAATTTTAATATATTTTAATTTAATACTCTATGTTTAATTTTATTAATATTTGAATGAATTGAATGCAATTTTATTATAAATTACATGATTTTTATTATTAATAAAAAAGACTAGAATGCGTGAAATTAGAAGTTTTAAAACTTAAATGCAGTTCTTTCAAACTTTTAGGGACAAAATTCTAATAAGAAAAATTGAAAGGGATCACATGGAATAAATCTAAAGTTTAAGGACCAAAGAACATAAAAAATGAATGTTAAGGGACTAACAATGTCATTTTACTGTTAAGATTTTGAGAATTCTGACTGAAGAGTTGACGCAGTTGGGATGTCCGTGACTCGAAGGATGAAGGTTGACTCTGTCTCCAAAGTTGAGGGATTTTTAGGAATTCTTTTAACGTAGAGGGATGATAATGGTTTTTTATTACAAAGGTAGAGGATTTTTTGTAATATTAAGAGAAAAAAACAAAAAGAGTTCAAGGAAATAAACTTAAATACTGGACTGAATAAGCCCAACTAAAACCCATTTTATGAGATTTCTGTAATCTGGAGCTACGTTTTGGGCCATTCCGTCCCAGGTCAGGTCCAAACTCTAGTACCTTAAACTGTGTCCGACAATGCCTTGTGGGTTCACATACTCCTCAGCAGCGTGCGGAAACATGAAGAGAAAAGGGTAAATAAGGGTGTAAATTTTATATATTTTTATTTAAAAATGTTAATTTTATTATTTTTTAAATAAAAATGTCAATTTAAAATTTTTTTTATTTAAAAACGTTAATTTTATTAGTTTCTAAATAATGATGTTAATTTTTAATTTTTTTATTTAAAAATGTTAACTTTTAATTTTTTTCATTTATTTTTAAATTTTTTTATTTAAGGATATTAACTTTTAATTTTTTCTATTTAAGAATTAATTAGATGATAATATCAACATGACAAATAAATTTTTTAATTGAAATGTT